AATAATCAACAACTAGGCAAAATAACTAAGAAAAAAGATAAAGAGATTTTAATCGAATATTGGGTAATGTACAAAGAAAATAGAAAAACATCAACAGAAATAAGCAAGTGCAAGGGCTGCATAAACATGCAAATACAGATGATAGAAAAATGTAAAAAGTGGATTCAACTAGACCATAACACAAAAGCCATTCCAGAACCAATAATAGAAAAAAATAACAACAGAATTAATGCAACAATAGACCAACTAAAAGAAAACAGAACAATAGAAAAATAGAGAAATAAGAAAGGAGATCTAGTCAGCCTCAAACAAGTAGAAGAATTAGAAATAGAAATAATAAGAAAGCAAGGATTAGATAATATACTCATAGAACAGTTAATAGAGATCTTAACAAAAAATAAAGAAAGAAACAAAGAAAGATATACCTTTTATACAGATAGAGCACTATACAAAAAAGGTGAAAAAAATAATATAAGAAGAATGGGTATCAGATGGGTGCAAGTAGGAGAGGAAGTTAATTGGGCAGAATTATGCCTAGAAGGATGGCTATCAGCAACACTAGCAGAGTTGGTAGTGATATGAGCAGTGATTCTAATAGTACCTGAAGGAAAAAATATAAAAATTCATACAGATAGCATCATAGCAATAAAAAATATTAGTAATGCAATACAAAGCATAAGGAATGAGAAAATTTCTAAAAAAGAAAAATGCAACATGGATATTAAACATTACAGAACTAGTCAAAAAAAAAAATGCTAATATAGAATTAATCAAAGTCAAAAGCCACAGTGAAGACAGATGGAACAACAGAGCAGATTTCTTAGCAAAAAAGAGAGCAAACTGCAAAGAAGTAATCTAGACAGAAAAACTTAGATGTGAAGAAATAGAATACCAACTAAAGTGGGAAAAGAAAAGGATAAATATATCTGCAAGACTTCTTTGCAAAATAATTGCAAATGCCAGAATAGGAGCCAATTGAAGAGATATAAACTTGATCAGAACTCTGAAACCAGAAACTGAACATATATGTCACAACTGGTCAAGCTTTTGGAAAGAAATGAATAGAACAAAAGAAGTACATTGTACTTCAAAGAAACTAAGCACAAGAAGAGCCATAGTAATCAAGTGTATAATAAACAGTCTACTGATGCTAGTAGAACTAAATAAAAGAAGACCAAAGGTATATATAACAACAGAATGCCAAGTCTGTCAAAATGGTGAAAATGAAACTCAAGAGCACCTGACAAGCTGTAATAAACAAAAAAGTATGTGAAAATGAATACAAAAAGTTTCAACAGCAACAGCATGGAATAGGCTTAAAGAAGAGAAGAAAACCAGAATTCTAGCACAAATATTATACAAAGCACTGTTTAGAGAAACAGAAGCAGAAGAAGTTCTAAACAGAAAGGTGCTAATAAAAGGGTTAACAACAATAAAAGTAAAGGAAAGACTTGATAAGTTGCTAAGTAAACAAGCAGCAAAAAAGTATTTTGACATAGTAACAAGAACAGTATAGAATACCTTTTATGACCAAATATGGTGAGTCTGATATGAAAAGATACAAAAGTAGGAAAAAGAAGTTAATATAACAAGTAAAATAAAAAAAGGTATTTGGATAGAAGAGAATATAGCAAAAAGAAAGGAAAAAAGAATAAAAAGAAAAGGAAAAAAAAAGAAGGAAAAGAAGGATGAAGAAATAGAAAAAACAAGTCGAAAGAAAAAAGAAGCTTGGAAGACAATTAAAAAGCTTGTCACAGAAGGGAGAAGACCCTTCTGGTATGGCTTTAAGTAGTTAGATGAGCAGTCTATCTCTAACTGAAATAGTGCAGCAGGTTGCACTTAGGTACCATTAGGGTAACCGAATGATGCTAGACTTAGATATTGGAAAATTCTATATAATTATATATGTATTTAGTTTCAAGAATCTTAATAAAGTACTAGCGTAACTGCTTAAGCCAAAAAAAAAAAAACTGGTTATCAACTGGTTACCTAAAAGTAAAGCTGATTATTAAATTAAATTGGGTAATATAAATATTTAATTAAACTGAATAATATGAATAATCAATTAGAGATTTGAATCTTAATTAAATCAGATAATATGAATATCTAACTAAAATAGATAACATGAACAATTGATTAAACTAAATGATACAGTTACTAGATTAATCAAAATAATACATATAAATAATTTAGTAACCTAGTACTAGATATACAAGAAAATTTTTGTTATTGTATACAAACCAATTTTTAAGTTATGATTACTTTTTCAATAAAAATTTAACTTCAATTTATATTATTACAGCTAATTTTGTTGGTATCTCCAAAATTTAAAAAGTATTAAGGTAGGACTATAATATCATAATTTAATATATTATATATAAATAATTTATATAATTTGACACATTATATATAAATGATCTACATTATTAATAAAAAAAGTAATTAGAATGTGGAGTAATCAGTTAGATGTTAGTTTTTCAGAGTACATTATACTAATTTACATATTAATTGTTGTTTAACATCTAACAAAAAATTATAAATTTAAGAGATCATCAATAAAATTTATAGTTTTAGTGATTAAAAAAAAGGTCCAAAAAACCAAATTAGTTATAATATATATTGACCAAAATTTTAACCAAACTTTGAGTACAAATTTCTAATAACTGTATAATAAAACCTTAATTTTATTTATAAATATACAAATTAAAGATATTTTATTACAATATTCTAGGCTAACTGTAATGATATCTATGTTAAATCTAAAAAATTAAAATTAATGAGCTGTTTTAATAAAACTATTTAGTCAACAAAAAATCTATATAGTATCAGTACATCATATCTAATTTTTAAAATCAGTTCAAATATAGAATCAACTTTAATTAAAAGCAATATTACTCTTGTTATAATGAATTTAATATTGGATATTATAAAGGGTTTAAGTACTAATAAATTTTAGCTTGATCTTGATACAAGTTATAGTGAAGTATTTTTTTCATCCTGATAGTTATCTATAATAAGAATAAAGTATTAGTATCATAAAATTATTAGAAATAGTAAATATGAATACTTATTGTACAATCTTATTTTAATAATATTTTTTGATATATATATATTTTTTTAATGATATTCAACTGAATTTTACCAAATAACTAAAGCTCATTGTTAGATGCAGAATTCAAAATAAAAAATACGAGTAAATAAAACCTAAACATATTAAATAAAAGAGTTAATAACTATAAATTAAAGTATATTTATATTTTTTTTTTTTGGTATTAAGATGACCTCTTTGGTCTTTTGACTTTTATTAATCACTTATCAGTATTGTGGTTCAATGAACCACTACAAGAGAGCATACAATTGGCCACACATGTAACTTTTCTATATTACCTATTTAAGGAGTCTGCCCGAAGGTTCACTACCAATTGCCGTACCTAACACTCCTGCTTGGGTGTTCTACTTTAAATCCTCTAAACCTGTAACTTGTGTTAATATCACTGGTCATCTCAGATGTACCAGATCATCATCCTCAACCTTAGGACTAATTTATCCTCAAAGTAAACCTCTCAGAGCCTTCTGTACCTATTTTTACAGCTGACCTAGGTATCGCTATGGCAGAATTAACACTTGTGGTCAGAGTTAACCATTAAACTACTATGCCCTTGTAGAGTTCACTTAAACCCCAGCATCTACTTCACAGCATAACCCTGGTACTTTAGTATACTCCTGCCTTTTCCCTTGCCCTTTTACCAAACTCCCAATTCAGATAGCCTGTGTAGGACTATGACTAGTCCATTAGTATATCAGGTCGGCCCAATATCCTTTTCCTCTGGTTCGTTCCGGTGGCCTGGTTAGTGGTACTTCCAAGACTCCCAACCCAGAGGTTCTTGCCCATCCAGCTACTGGGTATCCGTTTCCCCAGGCTAGCCTTTACAGTAGGGTTGTCAAAGATCAAGCTATCTTTCTACTCGGATCTTTCCAAATGGACTTCTTGTTACCTAATTTCAACAGATTTACACGACCACAAGGACTTATCTAGTGTTTGCACTGCCTGATTTGTCAGTTTGCATTTCTCTGTATAACTCCAACATTGCACAGATGCCCTATGACCTGCCAGTCATGTTGGTGCAACTGCCATTACAGGTATCTTAACCTAATTGTTAGTAACAGTTGTCATAATATGAATATTACATAGATGATTATTCAAATTTTCGCTGTCAATGGGATTTGAACACCCAATCTACCACTTGGAGGGTTGACAACCTGACCACTTCATTAGGTCACCACACCCCTATTAAAGCATATTTAGAAATAAAATTTTTACAATAAAACTTATTAATTTATTGATTCAATACTTGATATAGTTTTCTCATTCTAAGTATTTTCTTACTATTATTTAGCATAATCTGTTATTGCTTCAAATAAATTTATTCTATAGCACAACTATCTTATTGATTATTACATTAATGCATCACTAAAAAATTTGCTAAAAAATCCTATTAGGTTCTTTTTTTCATTTAACTATCTGAAATTCTTTCAATCATGTAACTATATTATTCAGGTATTAGATGTTATTTGACTTTTTTTTTTCTTTTAGCATGAATAATTGATATACTTTCACTAATAAAATATAACTATAGTTAAATGATATTTCTTTCTTGATTACAAGATAATTAACAAAGATAGATATTAAGTTTTAAATACAAAATTACTAATTTTATAAATATTACAAATTAAACATTGTTCTTATATATATTCTATAATTCATCTGGTCTAAAAATAGAAAAATATTGCATATTGCACTTTAGGAATATCATATGTTCGATCATATCTGGTTAAAACTTGTTATTTAATGCTGTAATATGTAAGCTAGCATTCAAAAATAAGTGTTTAGAAGAAACTAATATAGCTGAAACTACCAGATACTTTCAAGCCAAGTTAGATAATATAGAATACTTTTTCATATTATTCCTTTATCATTTTAATAAATTACATTTTTTTTTTTAAGTAGATTCATGAAAATAATGATCAACTTTAGGCTCTTTAATCATTTTATTTGATTTTTCATTATCATATAAGTCTGTTATCAAATTATTATCCATTGTGGATTTAAAAGTTGATATACTAGAAGATCTGGCAAACTCATCATTTTTTAAAATTTCTTGAATAGAGTTGTGATATTCTATCTCAATACAAAGTCTTTGTACTGCATTTATTACATTTTTCTTTATATTGATATTATCAATAAATTTTAAGTTTTTTATCTGTAGGTTCAAAAATAATACAATAAGTCCACTTCTTTAGGAACTTTCTAATATTTTTTAAGAGAGAGATAGCTTGTCACCTTGACCAAATTATATAAATTATTAACATCAATAGGCTGCACTATTGAACAATAACCTAAAAAAATATAAATTAAATTTAGTAACTAATAAAAAAAAAGAAGAATAATTAGAATAATTAAAAATATATATATATAAGTAAAAAACCTCTAAAGCATAAATTATTATATCACTTATAAGTATTTTTTTTGGTTCTTCTGTGGTCTTGTTTTTTTTATTTTTATGATATCTGTAATAGTCGCTAAAGTTGTTCTGAAATTATTGATACTCCAGGTTTATAATTTGTATCTGAATTATTAGAACTTTTATCAAAATTTTCATCAGAATTTTCATCAAAATTTTTATCATTAGTTATTAGTTAACTTTGGTCATTTATTTGTTCTCTAGATTTAAATAAAAAATCAGTATAATCTTTCTCTGTTTGCTTATTAGAAGGCATAAACTTTTTAATAAACAATTTTATTGTTGGATAAATAAGATTAAGTGTAAAATAATTTAAGCTAGAAAATACAGTAATAGCTTCATAAAATGGCTTTAGTAATAAAATAAGATAATCTAATAGTTGTCACTCATTTGTAGTTAGGTTTATTAGTTTCAAATATTCATCATCAAGGTGGTCACACCATTTTAGTTCTAAGGACAATATAAAAACAAAATAATCAATTGCTTTTCATAATTCTCTAAGGCAAATTCAGGCTAAATATGAGGAATTTCATCTTGTTGGTATGTTACCAACTACTTGATAAATTGTTAAATATTTACATTTTTTTTGTGCATCTTTAAGTCATTCTGTTTGTTTAGGACTTAGAGAAAAAAAAAGAATGAGGTTTTTTGCTTGTTTGATTAGTCTTACTGCAGGTTTAAGACCTTTAAGCATACTTAATTGAAGCATATATACTGAACAAGCCAATTGTGTAACATTATTTATTAAACTAATTGCTTTTTTAATATTAGGCCCATTGTCTGTGATGATACAAAAAACTTGTTCAGTTAGTCCCCATTTAGTGATAACTTGATTAAGTGAATTTTTAATATTTTTAGCTGTATAAACTAATGAAATTAGCTGAATAGTTAACAAAGCTTCTCTTAATACAAAATTTGAATCGATCTAAATTGCTATGACTCTGATATATTTTTGATTTATTCTTGAACTCCATAAATCTGTTGTTAGATTTATAAATCCATTATCTAAGTTCATTAGACTAAATAATTGATCTTAACTTCAATCATAAACTAGGTTAATTGTTTTTTCATAGTTGCTTCACAAGGAATTTGAAACCCAGATCTTGTATTATTTAAGAGACAATGAAAAGCTTGACAGTATAAAATGTTCAAAAGTTAACAATTCTTAATGATAAACTCAGTCAAACATTGTATCAAATTTTCTTGTCGATGTTTAGTAATAACATATATAGCTTTAATGATTGAGCTGCTGGTATTCATTTCCTCAGAATAATCTTTATCAATTCTATGTTTAGTCCAAAGATGACCAAGTATATTTCCAGTTGAAAAATTATGTATATATTTAACTACAACATTTTTTTGTTTACAAAGTTGACAAATATTATAAAAACTATTTTTTGTCTTTTCAGTTTTAAAATATTTCCTATGCAATACTATAATTATCTTGTTTTTTCCTTTTTTTTTGTTTTTTTTATTATTTTTAGAAAACTTATCATCTATAAGAAGTTCTAATTCTCTAGATGATTCTTTATAAGTTGAAGAGAATGCATTATAGTTATCTTTATATATATAATCAGACATAGTAAAAATAAAATTATATCTGTTCTTTCTAGTTTTGGTTAACTTTAAATTAGATAATTATGTTTTTTAATTATTTTCTCTGATAAATATCATTTAATAATAGCTTCTAACAACAAAGCATGTAGACCATCAGGCATTAGCTATGAAATGCTTAAATATGCTGGAACACTATTTCTTGACACAATCACAGCTCTCCTTAATCGCTGCCTTATATCTGAACAAATTCCAAGCCAATAGAAAAAAGAAAGAAATTTTCCTATTTCCAAAAAGCCTATTTTTGATGGCAACCTAACTAATACCAGACCTATTAGTTTGCTTAAACATGTCAAAAAACTTTATACCAAACTTCTTACCAATAGACTTAACTACATCTTTACTCATCACAGAATTTTATCACCCTTTAACTATATAGCTCTACCTGGCAATAGTACAGCTATTCCTATACACATTCTCAACAATGTTATCGAAGAAGCATCTTGTAATTCTAAACAGCTTTGGCTTCTATCTCAGGATATGAGCAAAGCTTATGACTCTGTAGATCTAACACTTTTTACTAAATCCTTACTACATCTAAACATGCCATCCAATCTTATCAACATTCTCACCAACTTGCTTACTAATTGACATAACTGAGTTATCACAAATTTAGGTCTTACTAACTCATATACTGTCAAAAATGGCATCAACCAAGGAGAAACTATAACCTTTCTATTTTGGAAAATCTATTATGATCCTTTAATTAACAAAATAGCCTCAAACTTCTCAGGATACACTTTGGCTACAAAGTGAAACACTAGTTTGCTTCAGACAAAGCCTTAACAACTTCAAACCTCAGTATTGATATTAGCATATATGGATGATACACTTTGTATAGCCAAATCCAAAGAAGAATTACAAACAATTATTGTCACTGCCACTTCTTTTTACTATATGGCTGACATATAAATCAATCCAACTAAATCAATTCTTACTTCAAATACCTTATCTATAGCTCCTATTCACTTTTTTAATTCATCACTTATACCTACTTTGGCCAACCAGCCATTCAAATTTTTAGGATATCGGTTTACTCTCAATAACTCTCACACAAAACAAAGCCAAGTAATTTATAATGAAGCAATTCAACTTATTAATATTACA